CACCGTCACCTCACTTGGCAGGGTAACCTCTTAGATGTCTCTTTGCTTCCGGCTCTCCCTCCACACCTGCTCCCCCTCATAGCAGCCAAAGGGTCCCTGCAACCCAAAGTGGACCGCGTCCCTCCTCTGCCCAATGCCCTCCGCTAGCACCCAGCCCACCTGCGCCCCACTGTGCTCGTATTTGTCCAGTTCCAAAGATGGAGGAGCATCCGCTATGTGAACAGGAAGATAATGTCAACCTTTACTGAGCACTTACTGTGCCAGGCACTGCACCAAGCAGGCTCCTTGTATTATCTCGCTTAATCCTCACAATGTCACGGATTTACACCCCGTTTACGGGTAAAAGGAAACTGAGGCACAGACAAGTTCAGTCAACTTGCTGAGAGGACCACAGTTCATGAGTCGCTCAGCAGCCTGGCCAGAAGCTCTCCTTGCCCTCACTTCCACGTAGAGAGTGGCTGGCCCTTGGCTGAATGACTGCATCCTGGGGTACTCTGCATGCCTGATCGCACATGAGACTTGCCCCCCACTGCCCTCTAAGGGCAGAGTCACACAGCTCCATCATTTCAGGCTCTGGTCACTCAGATGTGATCCCCTGGAGAAGTGAGTTAGTGATGATGACGATCATGATCATGATGGTGATGACAGTTTGAACAGTGACCGAGTGCTGATACACCAAAGTTTCTCCACCTCAGCACCATTGATATTTGAGGTCAGATGATTCTCTGTTGTGGGGGCTGTCCTGTGCATTATAGGATGTTTGGTGGCATCCCTGGCCTCTACCTACTAGAAACCAGTAGCACCGCAGAGCTGGGACAACCAAAAATGTGTCTGGACATTGTCCAATGTCCCCTGGGGGCCAGAATCGCCCCAGCTGAGAAGTTCTGCTCTAGGCTCTCTACCCTATTGCTTTACCTCTGAGTCTTGCCATTAACCCTAGGAGGTAGGCGGAATATCCCTACTTCGCAATCACAGGAGGAAATAGAGGCTCAGAGAGGCAAAGGAGTTTGGCTCACATCCCGTGCCCGTGAGGCTAGTTCTTCTATCTGTGAGGGGGGTCCCAGGTAGTACAGAAAAAGAGGCTACGGAAAAGCAGTTGCCTTCCTTCTTCCAGCCTACCACCCACAATTCCAAATGCGTTAGTAATCCTGCAGGAAGACAGAGGCTACTGCAACAAGCGTCAGCCTCTCTGACCAACAGCCCAATGGGGCACCCAAGATCAGACACCCCTACTGACCAGTGGGCGCCTGAGCTGCTCAAACCCAGGTCTGTCTGATGCCAAGTCTTGGCCACTAGCTACCTCTGATGGTCACTGTGGCAGAGGGGCCCCGCCAGGCCAGGAGGTCACAGGACTCCAGGACACATGCATTCAGTGAGGTCCCACCCTCTATGTGAAACTGAGGGAAAGGAGAGTCACTAAAAATGCCCAGTCTGCTGGGCCTGACCCACCTCCCATAGTTCCAGGGATGCAGACTGGGCCCACCTGCCCAACTTGCTACCCCATCTCCCAGACAGACCTACAGAGGAAGCTGGTGAAAGGGGATGGGGCAGGGACCCAGGGAGAAGCCCACTTCTCAAAAGCTAGAGTCCACCAGGGGCAGTGGCATGGTACTCACGAATTTTAAGAAAACGTTCCCAAGTTCATGCTGAGACTGTGGTTCCGGGTGTAAACAATACTCCAAGGCGGCCAAGAAATCCTTATGAACTTCCAGGATGTCTTCGATGTTCGAGAATAGGATCTGTGAGGAAAAGACAGGCCAGAGGACAGCGTGAATCAAGGCTCGGAGGGGGAGCAAAGCCAAGCATTGAAAAAATACAAACCTCGGTGCAGGTGGCACTGTAGTCAAAGAAGAACTCTCAACCACCGGAGCTGGTTTACCACTAATAGAAATCATCGTAATCACAGAAATATTGCCAACATTTATTTACTATCATCGGGATTAGTGACTAATCCTGTGTTAAGAACTTTACATGCATTCATGGAATCTAATCCCCACTGTAAATCCATGAGATAGAAACTATTATTATCCCCAGTTTACAGATGAAGAAGTAAGGCTCAGATAAAATAATATTCCCAAGGTCAAAGTCTTGCGAGCAGTTCCACATTTAGTATGCAGACATTCATCACAGTGAGACACAACTGCTATGTCCAGCCACAGGATGGATGTTGAAATTACGAGTATATTTCCATGCACCCATTAAAACAACGTGGTAGGAGAAAACACAATAAGGAAGGAGGTTAGAAATACGCTGCCTAAACTCTCACAAATAATATATGAGATTCCGTTTCCCCACATCAATCGAAAAGTGTAAAACACTAGTACAATTTGACCCAGCAATCCTACATTTTAGAATTTAACTTTCTGATCAGTTGTTCCCAACTAGGGGCAATTTTACCCACCACCCCCACCACACACACATGGGATATGTGACAATTGTCAAGGGACATTTTTGGTTGTCACAAATTGGGAGGAAAAGGGGTGTTTCATAGAGGCCAGGGATACTATTAACCCTTCCTGCAATGTACAGGACAGACCCCGCAATGAGCAATTATTTAAAAATACAATATGATTGTATTTTTTTAATTATTATTTTCTTTTTTAGAGATGGAATCTCGCTCTGTCGCCCAGGATGGAGTGTGAAGTGCAGTGGCGCGAACTCGGCTCACTGTAACCTCCACCTCCAGGGTTCAAGCAATTCTCCTGCCTCAGCCTCCCGAGTAGCTGGGAATACAGATGCATGCCGCCATGCCTTGCTAACTTTTTTTGTATTTTAGTAGAGACAAGGTTTCACCGTGTTTCCCAGGCTGGTTTTGAACTCCTGAGCTCAGGGAATCTGCCCGCCTTGGCCTCCCAAAGTGCTAGGATTACAGGCGTGAGCCACCTCGCCCAGCCCTCATGATCGTTTTATTTATTTATTTATTTTTTTAAGAATAGTTGTAACAGCCAAAAACCGGAAATAACTCAAATATCCATCCCCAGGAGAATGGATCAGTAAATTGTGTTGCATTCATACAACGGAACACCATACAGCATAGGAAAAAGAGTGAACCACAGCTACATACAACATCACGGGCAAATCCCACAGGCAGGCAGGGACTCGAAAGAGCTCACTTTAACATAAATTTCAAGAACAGGCAAAATCAATCTATGGTACTAGAAACCAGGGATTACCTTTAGGGAGGGAGGACTGACTGAGGGGGGCCCAGAGTGGGCAGCTGGAGCTGGGAAATGCTCTCTGCCTTCATTTGGGTCACGGTTACACTGGTGCATGTGTATGGAGACACGCACTGCATTCAGCACTAAGGATTTGCACCCTTTACTGTACGACATTTCGACCTCATTAAAAAAAGAAAGGTAATTTTTTAAAAACTGTACTAAGTCGCAGTTTACAATTATAATGAATAATTTTTAAACGATAATAAATAGTATAATAAAGAAGTGGAATCAACAGTAGGTGCTCAGTCATATTTGCCGAATGAATGAGTGAACAAATGAATGCAGGCATAGAGTTTAGATCCCAGGATCCCAGTGCGTGAACACACACCCCCCACCCCCAGGACGAGCCATGCAGAGACCTTGAGCAAGTCCTTGACACCTCTAAGACTCAGTTTTCTTATGTAAATAATTCGGTGTAGAGTTGTCAACATGCAAGGCCACCGTCCAGATTAACCAGGGCGTTTGGGGGGAATGTCTTCTATGACCGAGTCCTTTGGGTGCTGTAAATACTGGGCACCTTGGACACCAGGACCCTTAGAGCCCCGAAGCCTGAAAGGCGCTCAGAGAGTGAGGTCACACAGAAAGCCAGGCCTGGAGAGCCAGGCTGAAGCTGAGCCATGCACACAGAAGGCCTATTGATCTCCTCCTCAAACTCCCCAGAGCCACGGCCAAGGCCAAACTGGACCCAATTACTCATCAGCCCTGCCTGGACACTGGATGCCCAGGGCAGGAGCAGGGGCCAGGGCTGCCAGAAGAGGTACTGGAGGTGCCAGGCTCCCGGGGGCACTTGGGAGAGGATTTTCCACTGGCTCCAAGCCCGAGGGCCTGACACAAGGAGCCCGGAAGACGGGGGGCGGGTCACACTGAGCACAGAGGGGAAGTCTTGGGCTGGAAAGTGGGGCCAAGGGCTGATTCCTGCTGACGTCCACCAAGCACAGCTTGCTCACAGGACAAGAGGCCTCCAGGGGCTACAGGGAGCAAGCTGGGGCAGGGCAAAGCTGGTGGTCAGCAGTCAGCGGGTGACACGCCTCCGCCGGCATGCACACCCTCTGACTATTGCCGCACGGGAAGAGCAAGGCATAGAGCAACACAGATGCTCTAGAAAGGGGCCAGTCCGAGCATCCACACCTTGACATTCTCCTCCGTGAGGCCCTTCTCCACTGAGTCAGCCACGTTCTGCCGGATGCGATGCAGGAATGCCTGGAGGAGAGAAGCAGAGAGAGGTGAGTGTCTGCGTCTCCAGCTCTCCCATGGACGGCCCTACAGAAGGCTCTCAAGTTCAAATGCCAACTAGGATCTGGGAGGTACCATGGGTCCAGGGACACAGGCAGGCGATGAGGAAAAACGTGCTCTGCTTACACCTTAAACACACCGGAACAGCCCTCACTCCCACACTGAAACCAGGGGTGTACCGTGCACCTATGACGCCAGGCCCCGCGCTGGGCCCTGAAGAAACAGCAGAGAAAATCTCAAAGCCCCTGCCCTCGAGGAACCTTCGGCCCCAACAGATACACACCTGCTTCCTCACCCAGGGGCAGCTCCCAGACTCTAATTCATTTCCCTTTTCAATTTTTTTTACTTTGCTTTACAATTTAACTTCTGAATAATAACACAGTCACATGGTTCAAAAGTCAAAACTATAAAATGGCAAAAACACAGAAAGTCTCTCTCCTTACCCCAGTCCCAAACCACCGAGCACCTCTCCAACCCCTACAGGAACCCCAGCTACTAGTTTCTTGGGTATCTTTCCAAAAAATCTACGCAAAAACAAACACACACACATCTATTCCTTTTTTTTTTTTTTTTTTTACTTCTCTACACACCAAAAAATAGCAACATACACCGGATGACCTGCACCTGGATTTTCTATTTAATATAGCTCAGAGATCCTTCCAGATCATCTCACGAACAGCCTCCTTGCAGATGCCAGGAATCTACTGTTTGAATGGACCACAGTCCTTCTATCACCCTTTCAGGAGCTTGGAACAGACAAATCACGTCTCTCCTCTATGAGACGCAGCAGATGAGTGTGACTATACCAGGGCAGGAGCAACAGGGGCTGCAGGAGCTGAGGGTGCACCATTCACGTGGGGCCACGTGGGGAGGCCACAGGCCCAGGATCACCAGAGGTTCAGATTTGGGTGGTGGTGTTTTTTTTTTTAATGAAGCCAGAAATTAGAATTTTTTTAAAGAGAGAAGTCTCCCAGTTTTGAAGTGTTGGTGAAAGAGCTCTCTGTTATTGCAAGGAACTGGATTTCAGGGGTTGCGTGTAAAAGTGGGGAGACCAGGGCAGTAGGGTGCAGTGGTGCCAACAAGAGATGACGGTGGCCTGGCACCAGGTGGTGTGGGTGGAAAAGTGGCAGAAAGAAGAGCTGCCAAGGGGTCACATGAATGGGCTGAGAGAGTCACAGTGATCAATGCTGGGGGAAGGAGAGACAGCAGAGTCAGCACCTAAGGGAGACCGAGGCCCAGTACCCACAGCCACCTCCACCTGGTTTGCCCCAACTCCAGGATGTGGGATCTGGCTGTAGCCTAACCTGGAAGCAGCCACACGGAGACCCCTGGGAAAAGGAATTCATGGTGTTACACCCGCAGGGCCATGGGGAGCTGTGGGGCCTATCAGTCACCTGCCCTGCCAAGACAGATGACAGCTTGGGGCTCCCCAGGGGGCTGGTCCAGGTGAGTACATGGTCTTCCTGTCACAGAACCCAGGTGCAGGCTGATTAAGACAGGGGCTGCGAGAGCCTGTCTCACCCACCACGCTTGTCTGGGGAGATCTCTGAGAGATGGCGGGGACAGCCCAAGATAGCGCTGGGGTCAGGGTAAGCGGGGCAGGTAAGCAGAGAGGAGGGTGGCCCTCTGCACACGGCTGTCAGATCCTTTCCATCACCCGGAGACACAACACGTCCATGCCTGCCCCCAGGAGCCCGGCCACGTGCCCAGACTCAAGCCTCTTGGGAGGGGGCACAATGACAGTCCACAAGGTGAGTCACAGAAAAAGGCAAGACATAGGAAGGCAGCTTTGTCTCTGTCCACACAGAGTGCAGAGCCATCTCAGCTAGTCTTGGGGCTTTCACCCATCTATGCCTAGAGTTCCATTACTGGAACACTAAGCTTGTGGGAGTTATTTATATCCTACTCTTCAAGGTCATTGCCAAGGTCTGATTTTTTATTAAAAAAAAAAATTGCAACCTCTGGCATAAATGGGTTAAATTCCCTTTTTTTGATGACCCCCATGTTTACATCCCCAGCCTGGACTTCTCCCCTGAAACCCCAGACTCTTATCTCCAGCTGCTGATTCAATGTCTCCACCGGGATGTCCAAACTCAGCCTGTCCAACACTTAATTCCTGACCTTCCCCAAACTCATACCGAGCTCTTCCCCACTTGATTAATGGCACCTCTGCCTTTCAAGGGCTCTAGCCAAAACCCACCAGCCAGTTGACCCACAGAACCCTCTTGCCTGACACTCCATTTCCAGTACATCAAATGTTACCAGCTTCACCTGAACACTACAACCACTGGTCCCCATCTCCATAGCCATCCCCCCAGTCCAAGCCATCATCATCTCTTGCCTGGACTAACACAGCCATTTCCCTCCTGGTCCCCTTCACCCTCCCAAAAGTCTGTTCTCTACACACACAGCCAGGGAGATCCCTTTAAATATGTACAAGAGATCAGTTAATCCACGCGTTTAAAATCTCCATGGCTTCCCACTGCACTTAAAATCCAAATCCTCCCATGGTCCCCATGACCTTGTCCTTGTTAACCTCTCCGATCTCATCTTCTAGTACTTCATCCTCCCACATAATTCAATATAAACAATCTTCAGCCACACTGTCATTCTAGATTCTATCCACCTGCCAAATACACTCCTGCCTCACGACCTTTGCATATGCTGTTCCTATTGGCAAGATGTTCTCCCCCATTCTGCCCTGAGCAGCCTCCTTATCCATCTGGCCTTAGTTCAAACGCCATCTCCACCAAGAGGCCCTCCTCTTCTTAATGCAAACTCCTATCTTCCCATCTTGCGTTAAGAGCTCATTTGACAGATGAGGAAACTGAGGTTAAATAATCTATACAAAATCCTAAGGGAAAGGCCAGGACAAGCAGGGATCATGGCTGGGATGAAACCATAACCCCCAATCCAACAACAGAGGCCAGGTTTGGAAACTGGTGAGTTTGAGTTTCAACCACGGGTCCTTCCTGCTGTGTGACTTCAGGAAAGTGCACTAGCCTCTCTGAGTCTTCATTTACTCTTGCCAGTGGAGATCATAGGAATACAGCACCTTTTAGAATGTCATGGGATAAAGTGAATGGAAGCTCCCTGAAGGCAGGGACCCTGCCTGTCTTGTTTACAGCTACGTCTTCAGGGCCAAATGTAGTGCTCAGCAAATAGCAGGTGCTTGAAAATCAAAGGAAGGTATGGAATGTGCCTGGCACAGTGCCTGACACATGGCAGAGACCTGGACTCAGGCTCCTTGGAAGTCTGCGGATCCTGTTTTTTAAATGACAATGGGCGGGGGGGGACAGGGATGGGGTTCCTAGAGGATGTTTTAACAGGGCCTGGGATACTGACAGGAAGTCATGTCTCCAGCCTCCCCAGACTAGAGGGAGACAAAGACAGCCTCGCCCAGCACAGCCAAGGAGGGCAGGAAGCTGGGAGTGCCACACTCTGCTGGCCTAGATTGGGGCTTCCTGTCCTGGTTTCTTCACACGAGCTCTGCCACCGCTATTGTGCTGCAACAATGGGAGGCTCGGGCCACCCACTGAGGAACCGCAAACAAGCCGGTGTGAAGGCCACAATGGGCAGCTCGTGACCCGGAAAGAATGGGCAGCAGGGGCTCTGGGCCCAGCCCTCCTGCTGCCCAAGGCACGACTGGCTTTTCCAGGCAGCACCGGCGTCCCCTGCACTGGCAGGAATGGTGAAAGGGACCCTCCAGGGTGACTCTTCCTTTGTCCAAGGCTTGACAGCTTTGAAACAGTCAGGTCAAAAGCAGCTCTCATCTCCGAAGACTCCCTTAGACACAATACTGTTCTCAGGATTTCCAGGGCTGCCTGAGAAACTCCTCCAGCCTCAGAAGCTTTGCCCGTGCCTGGACCACTTGTCCTCACATCTGCCCAAGTCCTCCTCTTCATTTTATGAATATGATAATGAAGTACGTCAAGGATACAGAAAAGAATAGAGAATAGAGAGAAACAACAAACACCCACAAACTCATCATTACCCAGCTGTGGCAAATCTTAACACTACACCAAATTTGCTTGAAACCATCTGCAAAAAGAAATTCAACAAGTCTGGGGGAGGCACAGACTGGAAAGGGGATGAGGAGGCTCTCGGGGGTGCTGGAAACGTTCTGTATCTTGATCCGAGCAGTGGTGACACAGGTCGCTGCATATGCAAAGCCCCAGCAGTATGCACTTGAGATTAGTTCAGTTGACCCACAGTACCATGCAAATATCAAACCTCAATGTATTAAATAGAAAAAGCAGAAAAAACTCGTTACAGAGAGACGTGAGCCACTAGGCACCTTCTCTCCCTGCAAGGTACTTGGAGCCGGTGCTCCTCATTCCCACACATGCCTCTGCCCACTTACCATGCCCGTGTGCATCTATAAGCAAGAGAGAATACTGCTTTGCATGTTCACAACATTTTTATAAGTAGCCTGCTTTCCGCAACTTGATTTTCTCTCTCAACATCACGTCTTCCACATTTACCCATGTTGATATGTACACCAGGCAGCATCTGCCATCCAGACCCCACCCTTACCCCACACCACATCCAGCTGCCAGTGCCCGCATCTCTGGGCCTGAAGGCCCCGCTCTCATGCATAGGGCAGGCCGGAAGTGCTGAATAAGTAAGACTGCCTGGGAGCAGCCCTCAGTGATGGTCAGCAGGGCCTGGCATGAAAAGAAAGATGAGGAAACTGAGGCACTCGGTGGACACTATCTCCCCGAGTGCCTTGATGGGATTCAGCTCCGGCAGCCCCCATGGTAACCCGCTTGATGACACACCCTTCTTGGCTGCCTTCTCCTCCCTGCCTCACTCCCCGACTCTCCTATTGATGCCTCCTGGGTGACCTCCCAAGTACGCTACTTGCCCTTGAAATCGTCTCGGGACGTGTTCTTTGGAGAATCCACAATAAGACAGACCTCAAGTTGTTCATTTCATTGCTTACTAGTCAAAATTATAGCATAAGGTAATCACTACCATGCTGCAGACACTTGTTTCAAGCATCCCTACTGTAAACAATGGCGCTCAGGTGTAAGTTCTTTCAGCTGTACACTTAGGTCGACTGGGGTAAGTTCCTCTAGGTGATGCACAGGTTTCCTCGAGCCCAGGCGTTCAAGTTCCTCTAAGTATATACCCAGGTCTTCTGGGGCATAAGAGAAGGACCAGAGGGGCTGTTTACTCGGCTCCCGGCCTGAGTGTCTCCATGGTCCCCAGAGCTCTAGACTTAGCAGGAAGCCACATCATGATTGATTAGTGATGTCTGCCATGGATGTGGCAGGGAGAGGGTTAGAAGGATTATGAGTTTGCCATCTCCAACAAGCTCCCAGTTGATGGAGAAACCAAGAGTATGAGACACTGGTCTGAGGTCAAACAGCAAACTGGTGACAAAACACAGATTAGAACCAGGTCTCCCAATGCCAGGCTAGTCCCACCCCGGTCCCACCTAGCCTGAGCCCAGTGGTTCTCAACTTGGGGGTGATTTTGCCCCCTAGAAGACATGTGCCAATGTCTAGAGACATTTTGGATTGTCACAACTGAGGACGGGGTACTCCTGGCATCTAGTATGTAGAGGCCAGGGATGCTGCTAAACACCCTCCAGTGCACAGGGCAGCCCCACAAAGACACAGCTGACCGCAAACAACTGTGCCAAGGTCAAGAAATCCTTGCCTTAGAAGAGGCTCTGATTAAAACCTAGAAAAAATTCAACCTCTTCCACAGCCCAAAGACTGTCTAATGCGGGCTCTTCTCACCCCACTGGCTCAGCCACAGGCACACTGGTCTCCTTTTTATTTCTTGAACATACCAGGACCCCACCATCTAGGCCTTGGCACGTGCTGTTCTTTACCTATAGAGCTTTTCCCAAGACATTCAATTGGCAGGGGAGGTCCCTCCTCTCACAGGCCACCTCTGGACCCATATAAGAGAGGATCTCACCCACTACATAGCCACCTGAACCCGTTACCCTTCACAGACGTCACCGCTATTGGCTGTGCTCTTATCAATTAAGTATGGATAGGTTTGATCATTCAGCATCATCTCCCTCACTAAAGTATCAGCTCCCTCAGGGCAGAAGACAGTTTCCTTGGCCATCTACGCAGTGCCTAGAACAGAGGCTGGCACACAGCCGGTGCTCAAGAGAGATTGGTCTGTGGAGGAAGGATGGGAGAGACAGGGAGAAACTGAGAACAGGCTCCACAAAGTAAACTGATACCGAGCTGAGAGAGGCCACTAGAAGAAGAACACTTTTTTAAACTCACTATCTACATCTTTGGGCCTTATGTGCAGGTGCTGCTCTAGGTGTTTTAATCCTCAAACTCCAGGAGGCAGGCATTGTTATCACGATGTCCATTCCACAGAGGAGCCTGAGCCCAGCGCAGTAAAGACCTTATCTAAAGCCACACAGCTGGTAAGTGAAGGAGCTGGGCCTTGAACCCAGACAGTCTGGCCTGGTAATATGTCCCCAACACACCCAATCACACACCATCAGTAAGTGACTGTGGACAGTGAACTACATCAGCCTTTAAAACAAGTAGCAGCTGCCCTTAGGGGTGCCCCTGGGGAGCTGCCATCTGCCTGGAACCCATGGCTGCTGTCGCCTGGGGAGGATAAATCTCTCCCTGGAGATAAAAAGGACAGAAAGAGGCCTTGAAGTCACTCCCCGAGACTGATGCCGGCAACCTGATCTGCTTGGGGAGGGGCCCGACTGCCCCCAAGGACACCTCTGCCTTGGCTGGGGTGACCTCACCAGACATATGGTGAAACTTGAGAGGGCCAGGGGATGGGCTGGGAGCAAAGGGAAGTGATGATTTGGGGGGAAGTGGGAGGGAGCTTCAGAACACATCAAAGACAAAGAAAAGGGGGTGCCCTGAGGACCCCATCCCCAACATGATCTGGGTGGCGGGGAGTCAGAAGCAAAGTGTCATGGAACAGCAAGGGCCTTGGAATCGGAGTGATGATAAAATAATCGCTATAGTAACAGCAGAAGGGGGCTTACACAGCCTGCTGCAAGCCACCCCACATAGCCCAGAGTCTGGGGAGCTCCATAATTGCCCAATGACCCCTTCAAATGCCCAAATCCTATGCTCCATCCATCCAAGTTCTGGGCACTTATCCTACAGGGAAAAATAAATCTCATACGTGTCATGAAGCTTTACCTTCAATATCTGATTTACAATTCCATTCACTGGGGGTTTAGTTAAATAAATTACCATCCAGCTCAACAAGGAATGATCATGCTAAAAATAGTTTGCAGAAGTCTATTTAATAAGATGGAAAAGGGCTATTGATGTATCCTTAACTAGGAAAAAAATCAAGTTACAGACAAGTACGTAAAATATAATCTCATCTCTGGTTAAATAAATTCTCTCTCCCTAGGCATAGAAAAATGAAGTATGGAAGGAAATACCCTAAACTATGTAGGAATGTAGCCAAAATTACTAGCTGTCTCCCAATATCGTTCCCTCTTTTTCCTTTAGAAACCAGAACTCCTGATTTAAAAATAAGGACTGTATGTCCCAGCATCCCTTGCAGCTAGGTGTGGCCACGCAACTAAGTTCAGGCCAGTATGGCATACATGGCATATTATGTACGACATCTTGGAAGTATCCTTGTGGGCTGGGGGAGGAATGGGTAGGGATTCTCTTCTGCTATTCCCTCTTCCTACTGACTGGATCACAAATGCGATGCCTGGAAGTGAAGCAGACATCTTGTACCATGAGGTAGAAGCCACATGTTGGGGAAGACAGAGCAGCATTCAGTAGGCACTTATGTTCCTAGTGATGGTGCAGCCAACATATCCGCCCTGGGTCGCCTATAATTACAGAAGAAGGAAATAAACTTTCATCACATTTAAGACACTGTTATTTGGGTTTTATCACAAGCCACTGAACCTAATCCTAACTGACAGAGGGGAATTCTAAAGAATTTCCATGTTCTTCTTTCTTCATTTATTTCCCTTTCCAGATTTCTACAATGAACATGCTACTTTTTAAGCAAAAGTCATTTTTAACATAAATGCATGTTTTTATTTTTCTGGAGGGGAGGGGTACTAAACACACCAGGCTCTCTCTTGCCCATCCCATCACCCACCCCATCGCCCACCCCAATCATCAGGACCCCTGGCTTCTCCCTTCTCCTCCTTGGGCATGTGTATCCCTGTGCAGGGAAGGCAGTGCCCGCCAGTGGGGAACAGAGCAGGGGCCAGGCAAATATGAGACGGAAAGGTTTTCCTTCTGCAGAAGAGCCTCTGAACTGCTGACCAGCCCTCCTTCTCTGTGTCAACTCTGGAAACCTGGGGACCCCCACAAGCTGGCCTGGAGCTTCCACAGCCTAGGCCAGAACACAAGAAAGTCCACCACCCAGAGCCCACACCACTGCCCAGGCTGAGATTAAAACCCTCTCCACTCTGTTCCCACCTAGCATTCCTTCATCAGGTCCGTGCAGGAGCTGAGAGCCATTGGCTCAGAACCAACTGAGGCTTTCCCAAAAGCCCCAAATTTTGGATTTGAAACATCCTCTGCAAGGATTCCACCGCTGACTCATTCAGTCACAGACATACTTCTGAGAGGACTGGGAAGAGACAGCTTTTTTAAAAAAAAAAAAAAACCAAGTCAGACTTACTACTCCTTTACTCCCATGGCACATTTACAAAGTCCATATATGTATCGATAATTCGTGTCATTATATAGTCCATAGCACAAACATATTGCTTTGAATTGTATCTTTAACAGGCTAATGTCTTCCTGAAAGCATACAAAGAACCTACAACTGAGACCCCCTGGGAACATACCAAGGCACCACCCACCCCGGGGCCTTTGCACTTGCTATTCCCTTTGCCTGGAAGACTCTTTCTCCAGATATCTGCAGGGCCCTGACCTCAATTCATTCCTGTATTAGTGTGTTCTCATGCTGCTAATAAAGATATACCAGAGACTGGGTAATTTATAAAGAGGTTTAATTGACTCACAGTTCCACATGGCTGAGGAGGCCTCACGATCATGGCAGAAGGCAAATGAGAAGTAATGTCTTATATGGCAGCAGGCAAGAGAGTTTCTGTAGGGGAACTCCCCTTTATAAAACCATCGGATCTCGTGAGACTTATTCACTATCACGAGAACGGCATGGGAAAGACCCACCCCTATGATTCAATTACCTCCCACCAGGTCCCTCCCATGACACATGGGAATTATGGGAGCTACAATTCAAGATGAGATTTGGGTGGGGACACAGCCAAACCATATCAATTCCCCTCTAGAATCAAATGCCAGTTCTTCTGAGGCCCTCCCCCACTGCCCCATTTGAAAGAGACACCCACTCCCCAGCACGCTCCATCTCACCCTCCTCCATCCCCCACAGCACTGCCCTCCACCTGCACTGAGCTGTTTCTTCACTTATGGTTCCTCTGTCCCCTACAATGTCAGTCCCAGGAGGGTGGCAGCTTGTTTGGGCAGTGTCCACCCACTGGACCTAGAACCGTGCTGGACACAGAGCAGATGCTCAGTAACAATGGGTTCAGCAGGTCAGCTTGTTTGTCCTGCATAACAACCCCATGAGTCACGTTACTGCATTCCCTTTTTAGGAAAGAGGAAAACAAGGCATGAATCACATGATCGGCTCTGGAGTCAGCCCAGCCTCGCACCTCAGTTGCCTCATCTATAAAATCTGTGTAATGGAGCCTCACCTTGCAAGTTGCCGACACAAGGATTAAATCTGACACTGCTTGTAAACCGCTTGTTGCCTCTGCCCCACGGTGGGAGCGCCCAGCCCCCAGGATCCAGCCAGGATCACAGAAGGTGTCCCATAAGTTCTCAGTAAATGTCCAGTGAAGGGGTGGGCACTTTTAATTCCGTGTAGCCCCTGGACCAGCTCAGACCAGGCCCCTTCCCTGGGCACATTCCTTGGACCTACAGAAATGTTGGAGGCCCTTAAAAATATGTGCACTGGCTCCAAATACAAAATGAAAACTGTATTGTCAAAATGAACAGATCTTGATTTAAATGTCTACAGAATTACCAATCAACTCTGCCCGTGGTTATGTGCACAGAGAATGCAGTGAATATGTGCCGTGGGTGCATCTTAGCAGGTCTACCATGACGGGAGCCTTGGGGTGGTTCCCCAGATGCAGCAGACCCTGAGGCAAGAAGTGGAGTACAAGTAGTTTCTTTGGGAGGTGGCAGGTGGGAGGTGGTCCCTGGAAACACCAGCAGGGAGGTGGAACCAAGAAGGGGAGTCAGCCCACGAAGGGTATGAGACCAACCAAGTTACCACCATGAGGCCCCAGACAATGTCAAATGCACACCTCAGAGCCACCCTCAGACAGTAAGGAGGCGGGGGAGTCTGTACACCGGTCCTGTCTGTCACTGGTTTAAGGGCAGTGAGGGTGATCCTGGTACTCCCCATCTTCCCTGAAAGTGACAGAGCAGCTTAGAGCAGACAAAGCCATCAGGCAGAGGAGCACAGGTGCTGGCAGTGGAGCGTCCATCTGGTGTGCTCTGGAGTGGCTGAGGTGTCGCAATGCAGCCTCAAAAAGAAAGAGGGTGTAGGGCCCCCCGAGAATGGGGGGTGAAAGGCAGGGCTTTGCAGCACTGCAGCCATACAGGCCAGGCACTCCAGCAGATGTTCTCCTAATACACACCAGGACGACCTCGCTGCCTGTGAAAACACCAAAATACTTCTGAGCTGATGGGGAAAAATCTCTACACGGACAGGGCTGAAGGTCAGCGGAGGTGGCTGTGGAACCACAGGCAGTCCCCGGTCAGACACGGAGACAGGCTTCACGTCGAGCAGGCACAGGGAGCAAACAGCATTGCGTGTATCTGAGAATACATACGGCATCATGGGCAGGGTCAACAGCCGGGGCAAAGGCCCAGGGGCACATTCAGTCTCTCCAAGACAATCCTATTGAAAACGTCTATCCCTGTTCTGTTTTCCTCACAGCACCTGTCACCATGGACATTGTGTGTGTGCATTATCAGTCTATTATCCATTTAGCCCACCTGAATCCAGGCTGCATCTGCGGGAACCCGCATACGCTCCCCTGCAGAGGCCAAAGACATGGCCAGCATTCCACCTCCTCCTCCCATGCCCTAACTCTCAGAAGCCTTCCCTGCCCTTAGAAACTCTCCCTTCTCCTTGCTAGAAGGGCACTGTATCTCCTAAGCAAGCAGAATGTAAGAGTAGATGAGACTCAAAGGCTAGAACCAGCCACCTGGTTCAAATCCTGCCCCTGCCACCTACTGCGCTGTGACCTAGAAAACTGACTCCATCTCTCCGGGCCTCATCTATAACATGGATAGGGACCATAAAACTGCTGACGTCATGGACTACTGTGAGGCTGATATGAAATACTGCAGGCAGGCCAGGAGCAGTGATAATCCCAGCACTTTGGGAGGCTGAGATGGGTGGATCACCTGAGGTCAGGGGTTTGCGACCAGCCTGACCAACATAGTGAAACCCTGTCTCCACTAAAAATACAAAAATTAGCCAGGCATGATGGCTCACATCTGTAATCCCACTTACTCAGGAGGCTGAGACAGGAGAATCATTTGAATCTGGGAGGCAGAGGTTGCAGTGAGCTGAAATTGCACCACTGCACTCCAGCCTGGGCAACAGAGTAAGACTCCATCTCAAAAAAAAAAAAAGAAAAGAAAAAAGAAAGAAAGAAAAAAAGAAATACTACAGGTAAAGCATTTAAGTGGGCTCAAATCCCAGCTCTGCTGCTTACAAGCTGTAAGACCTGAAGTAAGTTATTTATTCTCTCTGCCTCCATTTCCTCCTCTATAACAGGGGACAAAATAAGTACACAGGATTACAATGAGAATTACAGAAGCTAACACACATAACCAGCACCTGAATGGTCCCTGGTGGATGGTAGGTGCTCAAAAACATTCGCTACTATTGGCCAGGCACGGTGGCTCACACCTGTAATCCTAACACTATGGTAGGCCGAAGTAGGCTGACTGCTTGACCCCAGGAGTTCAAACAATCAACCAACATGGCAAAACCCCTTCTCTACTAAAAATAAAAAAATTAAAAAATAAAGAGCCAGGTGTGGTGGCACGCACCTGTAGTGCAAGCTACTTGGGAGGCTGAGGTGGGAGGATCACTTCAGCCCAAGAGGCAGATGTTGCAGTGAGCCGAGATCGCACCACTGTACTTCAGCCTGAATGACAAAGTGAGACCCTGCCTCCAAAAAAAAAAAAAAAAAAAAGGCATTGGCTATTATGATCTCCCCATCTTGAGTTTCTAGAGTGTCTGCACGGAGTCCAAGCCCTGGTGTAGGCAGACAGAACCCACGGTGCTTCCTAAGGAAACCTGGATTTGAATCAACCACAACTGTAGGGCTTGTACATGCACCAAGCACACTCACATTTATCCCACACTATTTTTACTTATTGTTGTTAGTTTTTTCCATCCTGCAAACAGCTCTATTATTATAGACTGCTTCCGAGTCTCCTGAGGTGAGATGAGAAGGGGAAGGCTTTATAAACTACAAAGCCCCCCACATCCTCATTACCACCAGCGCGCCCCTCCGCCCTGCCCCATCCTCTTTGCTGACTGCCAACCACATGACCTCAGCAAGTCACCGCACTTCTGAGTCAATTTCCTGGGCCAAACAAAAAAGGGGGTAGGAGGAGTTGTTGAGGTTTAAGTGAAATGATGCAGGTGAACACTTCGTAACTACAAAGGCTTCCTGGAAAAAGTGACA